ACTACATAGACCAGGCTGGCCTTGAACTCACAGAGATCCACCTGCCTCTGCCTCCTGAGTGCTGGGATCAAAGGTGTGAACCATCACGCCTGGCAGTAATACATAATTTAAAATCTACACAAGCAGCACCATCATTTTTATCTTAACTAGAATACACATGCAACATAGTAGTAAACAAAATCAAAGACACCCTTGGCACAAACCACTTAAATTTAAAGTTGATATCTGAATAATGTATGTTTTCATCCAAAATCATCAAATTGTACAAATTAACTGTATAATACTTTTTTTATTACTTTTTCCTTTATTTTTATGTGTATGTGTGCACTGCATGCCTTCTGGGATTTGAACCTCTGTCCTCAGCAAAAGCATTCAGTGCTCTTAACCACTGAGTCATCTCTCTGGCCCCAAGTGTAAAATTCTTTATAAATCACTATATTTCAATAAAGCAGTCTTAAAAAAAAATGCATGTTTTTTTTTAACTAAAGGAATGGAATAAAAGCTTTAAACTACAAAAAAATTTAAACAGTATATCATATATATATATATATTTTATTTTATTTTATTTTATTATTTTTTTGCCTTTCTGAGACAGAGTCTCCCTGTAGTCCCAGCTGGCCTGGAACTCACTATGTAGATCAGACTGGCCTTGAACTCACAGAGATCTGCCTGCCTCTGTCTCTGGAGTGCTAGGATCAAAGGTATGCACCACCATGCCCAGTAAATCATGTTTTTTAGTCCTGTGGTACATATGCAATCTATGTTTTGTTTGTTTTCTTATTTAATGATTTATTTGTACAAGTGTTTTGATTGCCAGTATGTTTATTGCTATGTATGTGTAGTGCCTATGAAGGATGGAAGAGGATGACACAGCTGCCATGTGGGTGCTAGGAATGGAACTTGGGTCCCTGGGAAGAACAGCAAGTGCCCTCTCCAGGCCCAATCTATGTTTTTAAAATTACCTTGCTATTTATTTATTTTGAAGGAGTGTGTGTGCATCTCTGGGGGCAGGCACATGCCCCCAACATATGGGTTGAACTTAAAGGACAACTTCCAGGAGTCAGTTTTCTCCTTCCACCAAGTGGGTTCTAGAGATCAAACTCAGGATGTCAGGCCTGGCGGCAAGAACTCCTGTACTTACGAAGCCATCTCACTAGGCCAGTTTTGTTTTCGATTTTCTCCTGTGTGTTGTGTGGTCCTGTATTAACCATGGGCCTTATTCATGCGAGGCAAGTAGTTTACCACTGAGCTACATCCCCAGCCCAATATTCAATGCATTCTTTTTTTTTCCTTCTGGGAACTCAAAGAGATCCTTCTGCCTCTGTATCTGGAGTGCTGGGACTAAAGGCATATGCCACCATGCCCAGCTGCAATCTAAGGTTTTATGGGTATTTATAATGTTACAATTTTAAATTTATTTTTAGTTTTATTTATAAATATTTCACATATAAAATTTACACATTTCAAGTAAACATTCCAGTGGTTCTTAGTATATTCAGAGAATTGTACAACTGTTAACTATACTTGGTTTTAGAATGTTGTATCACCTAAGAAACTCATTCTGTACTTCCATCTTTTCCCTCCCCTATAATTGTACAAGTTTTTAGAATTTGTGTTGCTTGTTTTGTTGTTTTTTTTGGTCTTTGTGAGACAGGGTCTCCCTGGAACTCACTATGTAGACCAAGCTGGCCTTGAACTCAGAGATCTGCCTGCCTCTGCCTCCCAAGTGCTGGAATTAAAGGCATGTGCCACCATGCCTGGCATAGTTTTTTAGAATTTGTAAACCTTTAATTACTATGACCTACTTGACGATGACAAGACACAAAGAATAAGATCATCTAAACTACCAGATTTTTCCTGCCCAGTATTCATTAGAAAGCCCAAAGGAGATGGGTGTGGTAGTATATGTGTTTAATCCCAGCACTGGGGAGGCAGAGGCAGGTACAACTTTCTGAGTTCAAGTCTGCCCTGGTCTCCATATCAAGTTCCAGGCCAGCTAGGGCTACAGAATGAAAACTTGTCTCAAAAAACCAAAACCAAACGAAACGAAACCAAACCAGAAAACCATAAACACACACACACACACACACACACACACACACACACACACAACCACACATATACCACACACACACATAACACACACACCACACACAACACAGAATACTTACTCTGTCTGTGTGACCAGGAGCCATGGACAACATTTTCCCTCGTTTCCAGTCCCAAACACAAACTGCATTCTTTGAATCAAGTCCAACTGAAACCAAACGCTGGAGAGTGTCCAAGAAATTCAGGAAAGCATAAAAAGACAAATAAAATCACCACCAAATTATAAATGGTAAATAAATTCTACTTATGGTCTTTGTAAGCATCAAATTACATGCATATTTCAGAGATCCAATAATGGTAAATGGATGTGTTTTATCTTATTAATAGTTGTATATGCATAAAGTTTTTCATATCATACAAAAAGACTTCCATTTTATGAATATCCAAGAAGTATCCCAACCATAACTCCTGCCAAAAGCTACAACTTCCAGATAAAATATAAAACATGATTTAGGGGCTTGAAAGATGGCTCAGCAGTTAAGAACACTGGTTGTTCTTGCAGAAGACCTGGGTTTGAATCCCAGCATCCACATGATAGCTAACAACTGTCCATAACTCCAGTTCTAGGGGATTCAAGAGCCTTTTCTGTTCTCCGTGGGCATTGCACGACATGGGTGCACTTACCCATATACAGGCATTACACACATATACACAAAATTAAAATAATAAAATATCTCTTAACAAAAGAAAAAAATTATTTAAAATGCATTACTGAGCTGTCAAAGAATTAAGAAAAACTGAGAACAAATCAAAAGGATCCTTAGTGAGAATCCTGAAGGCCAAGAAAGCTACTGTATCTTCTAACAAAGTATTGGAAAAATCCTGGTTCTCCTGGCTTCTTTGTTTTTTGCTTTGTCTTTTACTGTAGGTGGAAGAGGAATGAGATAAAAGTTTAGAGGACTACTCAAGATGTAGTTTGAGAAGCAACTGGGAGCTTAGCAGACCACCAGAGTGTGCTGGGTTCTGGCCTCCCTCTGACCTCGAACTACCAGAGGGCCTGAGAACCCAGGGGACAGCCTGACAGCCCCCCATCCTGCTTCCATGTGGTGGTAAGCTTCCCCTAATTGTGCCATACCATCCCCCTACCTGGGATTTGGTGAGGCCCCTCCCAAGGCCCCAGGGCAGATCTGGCTTTCATAGGCTAAGGCTGAGATCCTATCAGACAGCCTGAGAGGGTGGGTTCAGACCTCCTCCATCAGGGTAGCCACTGGGAGCTTAGCAGACCACCAGAGAGTACTGGGTACTGGGCTCCCTCTGGCCTCCAACTACCAGAGGGCCTGAGAGCCCAGGGGATAGCCTGACAGCCGCCAAATCCTGCCTCCACGTGGTGGTGAGCTTCCCCTAACTGTGCCATACCATCCCCCTACTTGGGATTTGGTGAGGCCCCTCCCAAGGCCCCAGGGCAGATCTGCCTTTGGTAGGCAAGGCTGGGATCTCAGCAGACTGCCAGAGAGTGCCAAATTCTGGCCCCCCTCTGGCCTCCCTCTGGCATAGGGTTAATGATGCACAGGACTGCCTGAGAGAGCCTGGATACTGCCTCCACATGGTAAAGGAAGCCTGAGTGTACCTGACTGGAAACTTAATTGGGCTTCTGTGGGTACTCCAGAATAGCTGATCTGAAGCCATCAGTTTCCTCCAAAATAAACCTGAGAGAACCTGAACCCTGTACCAACCAGCTTTCTATAACCAATAAAGAAAGGATCTAGGCATCTGGATAATACAAACAGAAGCATACTTCAACTTAATTCTCATATCACAATCATAAACAACAAAAGAAATTCACATGCCAAAACCACAACGGAAGAAAAATAAAATGGAAAGCCAAAACATTATGTCCCCACCAAAGCCCAATCCTGTAGAAGAGTTCTACAAGGAGAACTGCCTAGAGATAACCTAGGACACTGAATTTAAAAGAACAATCATAAGCATGCTGAAGGAATTAAACGAATTTAAAGAACACACGAACAAACAAATCAAAGAGCTAAAAGAAAATAGGGATAAACTTCTGAATAAATTCACAAAAGAGATAGAAACATTGAAGAAAACTCAGGCAGAAATGAAGAAGGAAGTAAAAAACTCAATAAGCCAACTTGAAACAACAGGGGAAAGCCTCACCTCTAGAATGAATGAAATGGAAATCAGAATATCAACACTGGAGGATAAAGTTGAAGAATTGGACCACTGAGGCAAAGACTATGGAAAATTTTAAAAACCACAGGAATGGAATATGCAAGAGATGTGGGACATCATGAAAGACCAAATCTACGGATCACAGGAATAGCGGAAGGAGAAGAATTTCAGGTTAATGGTGTTGACCAGATCTTAGAAGAGAATTTCCTGTAGAAGAGAATTTCCTGAAATTAAGGAAAGACATCCCTATACACATACAGGAAGAACATAGACCACCAAATAGACAGGATAAGAAAAGAAACTCCCCACAACATATCATAGTAAAAACACTAAACGTACAGAACAAAGAGAGAATACTGAAAGCAGCAAAAGAAAAACAAGTCACATACAAAGGAAAGCCCATCAGAATTACAGCTGACATCAATGTAAACTAAGAAAGCCAGAAAAGCCTGGACCAAGTTATTTCCAGTTCTACATGACAAAAGTTGCTAGCCCAGAATACTTTACCCAGCAAAAATGTCTATCATAGTTGAGGGGGAAAGAAAAATCTTCCATGACACGAATAACCTGAAAGAATACATGTCCATAAAACCAGTACTCCAAGGAATACTTGATGCAATACGGAGAACAGAGAGAAACAACTATACCTTGCGGCAACAAAAGAAAATAAAGATATAATCTAGGAAACACAAAATTACACAGAGAACACAAACAGCAATCAAAATGATGGCAACCAATACACACCTTTTAATAATAACATTAAATATCAATAGACTGAACTCTCCAGTCACAAGACACAGGCTAAGCAAATGGATTAAGAAACAAAATACATATCTTTGCTGTCTGCAAGAAACCCAGCTCACCTTCAAGGACAGGCACTACCTTAAGGTAAAAGGATGGAAAAGAATATTCCAAGCAAATGGCACTAAGAAACAAGCAGGGGTTGCAATTCTAATATCTGAAAAAATAGACTTCAAAATAAAACTAATCAGAAGAGATAAGGGGGGGTTCACTTCATTCTGATCAAAGGAATAGTTAACCGAGAAGATATTACAATTCTTAACATATATGCACCAAATTCTGGTGCACCCAAATTCATAAAAACAACACTACACGACCTTAAGACACAGATTAACCCCAACTCAGTAACAGTAGGGAACTTCAGTACCCCACTGTCTCCATTAGACAGGTCAACTGGACAAAGAATAAACAGAGAGATGTCTGAATTAAGTGATACCATACAGCAAATGGACCTAACAAACATCTTTCGATAATTCCACCCAAACACCAAAGAATACACTTTCTACTCAGCACCTCATGGAACTTTTTCAAAACCTGATCATATACTGGGCCAAAAAACAAACCTCAACAAATACAAAAATACTGAAATATGCATTCTATCAGACCACAAAGCAATATAAGGCTCAAAACCAACAGTGGACAAAGCTCTAGTCACTGCATGAATTCATGACAATTGAACAACACACTACTAAACAATGAGTGGGTAAAAGGAGAAATTAAGAAAGAAATAAAAGAATTCCTGGAATTCAATGAAAAGGACAATACAACACAACACAACCTCTGGCACACTTTAAAAGCAGTCCTAAGAGGGAAGTTTATAGCTCTGAGTGCCTACATTAAAAAATCGGAAAGAAGCCAGGCGTGGTGGCAAATAACGAAAATCAGGACAGAAATTAATGAAATCAAAACAAAGAAAACAATACAAAAATCAAAGAATTGAAGAGCTCGTCCTTTGAAAATGTAAAGAAGATTGACAGACTGTTAGCCCAGTTGACCAAAAGAAAGAAAGAGCAAATCCAAATCAACAAAATCAGAGATGAAAAGGGAAACATCACAACAGACACCCAAAAGATCCAGATCATTATAAGGGAATATTCTAAAAACTTATATGCTACCAAATCTGAAAATCTAAGAGAAATGGATGGATATCTGAAATCATGGGAACCACCAAAGTTAAACCAACAAGAGATCAACAGTTTAAACAGACCCAAAACATATGAGGAAATTGAAACAGTAATACAAAGCCTCCCAACTAAAAAAAGTCCAGGCCCAGATGGATTTGCAGCACAATTCTACCAGACATTTAAAGAAGACCTCCAACCAATACTACTTATATTCAAAAAGATAGAAATGGAGGGATAACTTCGAAATTCCTTCTATGAAGCCAGCATCACTCTAATACCAAAGCCTGGTAAAGATACAACCAGAAAAGAAAACTATAGACCCATATCCTTAATGAACATAGATGCAAAAATTCTCAACAAAATACTTGCAATATTTGCAAACTGCATACAGACACACATCAAAAAGATCACTCACCATGATCAAGTAGGCTTTATCCCAGAAATGCAGGGATGCTTCAATATACGCAAGTCAATAAACATCATTAATCATATAAATGGACTCAAAGACAAAAACCATGTTGTCATCTTAACAGATTCAGAAAAGTCTTTTGACAAAATTCAGCTTGCATTTATGTTCAAAGTCCCAGAGGGAATTGGACCAAAGGGAAAATACCTCAACATAATTAAAGCTATATACATCAAACCCACAGCCAATATCATTCTAAATGGAGAAAATCTGAAAGCATTCCCATTAAAATCAGGAGCCATACAAGGATGTCCACTATCTCCACTCCTTTTCAACATAGTGCTTGAAACTCTTGCTAGAGCAGTAAGACAGGAGAAGGGAATTAAAGGAGTACTAGTTGGAAAAGAAGAGGTCAAACTATCACTTTTTGCAGATGATATGATACTATACCTAAGAGATCCCAAAAGTTCCACCAGAAAACTCCTAGAACTGATCAACACTTTCAGTATAGT